ACTTCCTCTGTCTTTCTTCACCACACTGAGAAGACCCCATGACCCCGAATCTAAGGTTACTTGTGTGTTTATCTTTTTAAAAAGGACTGAGCTTGACACTATGTCAACAGCATCTCTTGAATAGAAGGAAGCAGCTCGAAGGAAGAGTAAAGAAAAAAGTATTTTGTGTTTGCATTCGAATTACCTGAATGAAAAAGACACTGTTAGCGCCAAAAATTAGGTGCAAACAATAAATATTTTCAGTCTATCAAATGTGCGAAGGCCAACAATGCCAGATCACAGAAAAGCAACTACTTTTTTTCAATGCTATTAAATGTACTTCAAGTGCAATCATTACAAATTAATACATAACAACTCTCAGGGGGAAAGCAATCCACTTAGGGCCCACAAAGACCTTCTCTTTACGTACCCCCTAGAGTTCAGTTGGGCATCAATCAAGGCAGTTAAGTGGGATCCTTGAGCAGAGATGGTATCAGTGGCAGCCTCTTACAGGCACACACTTCTGTCCCTGTTATCTATGGTAATTGCTCTGAGTCTCTGTCACCAGTGAAGCAAACCTCTCATCCCTGACTCAAATGGACTACAGAGAAGTTTAATTTTAGCTACGTAGTGTGGATAAACATTTTATGTCATAGTTGCACCATTTAGGCCACTAGATATTACATGACAAGTGTTTCACAACTGCTGGAAAAGAAATTTAAAAACTAAATTATCATTCATTAATATGTTGAGGCACCTTCCAAGGCTGTGTGTACAATCAATTCTAAACGAGGTACGTATGGCTGCATTTAATTTTTTTAAGGGAACGATCCGGGGTGGTATGACGCCGTTCCTTTTGGCGCTTACCGGCTGACCGATTACCTACGGGTGGAGGGCTTTCCCGCCGTAACCAGTTTGTCCAGTTAGCTCGTCATGTATGATGGCGGACTTGAGAAGCAGAAAGGATTTGACCACAACATCAACAACGACCGGGTTAGAGTCCGGGGAAGAGCAGTTCCAGAAATCAGGTCAAACAAAAACAAAATCCAAAAAATAAACTGTACGCCCAATTAATCATTCAGTCATTTAGTCGGTCGACAGCGGCCTCTGGTGGGTTCATATGAGAACAGCGCGAACGGCACTCACGAAACACATTTGAGATGCAAAAAAGCACACACAGTGGCCTCTCGCGAATTCGCGAAAACAAATACTGCAAAAATACGTATGTCCTGGATGTATTTTCACGGTCTCCAAAAACGTCTGCGGGACTACGTTGTTAGAATGAGCCTGGGTTGATTTGAATTTTTGTTGCTTTTTTAAATATTTCCCATATTATATTTAACAGAGCAAGGAAATTTATGCTGCATGTCTGATAATGTTTTTTTCTTCTGGAGAAAGTCTTAAGACTTATTTGTTTTATTCCGGCTAAAATACAAGCAGTCATTAATTTTTTAAACACCATTTTAAGGACAAAATTTTTAGCCTCTTTAAGCTAACTTTTTTCAATAGTCCACAGAACAAACTATCGTTATACAATAACTTGCCTAATAACCCTAACCTGCCTAGTAAACCTAATCAACCTAGTTAGGCCTTTAAAAGTCACTTTAAGCTGCATAGAAGTGTCTTGAAAAATATCTAGTAAAATGCTATTTACTGTCATCATGGCAAAGACAAAACAAATCAGTTATTAGAGATGAGTTATTAAAACTATAATGTTTAGAAATGTGTTGAAGAAATCTACTCTCTGTTGAACAGAAATAAGGGGAAAGAATAAACAGGGGGTTCTAATAATTCAGGGGGGCTAATAATTCTGACTTCAACTATATATATATATATATATATATATATATATATATATATATATATATATATATGCCTTAGATTTAGGTAAGAATAACAATAGGTGGAAATCCACTGGGCAAGACCCATCACTGGCCCAATGTTCCAGTGCCCTCCATACCAAACGTGATAGACCTAATAACAAAAACAAGCAGTGTGGTGTAGAGCTGAGCACCTTAATGAGGACCATATGGAGCTGCCCAGACATACAGTCAGTGGAAACCCAATGCCTCTTCCTCTTTTTCTTCCTTCTCCTACTCTCCTTCTGTCACTTCGCAACTTTTCTGTCTTTCACTCCAACATCCACCTATGAATTTATGGCATGAATAAAAGTTCAGCCGATTGTTTTCTTAAAGCAGAAGGGTATCTTTTTTGCCATTATAAAAGTTACCCAGTTTAATGTGCAGACACAGTCTTAAGTTTGTAAGTTCATTCCCTCAAGGAGCGTTAAAAACAGTTTGGTTGAGTTATGAAAACATCCTTACCAGTCTGACAACAGCAGCTTAACCAATGGTGTGAATCTGGGGCGTCACCTAGACGTTTGTTCAACCAATAACAGATGAGGGGAGTCTTTGGGGAAACCTATTTGAAAACAATCATTATTCAGTTTCAGTTTTTTTTTTTTGGTCTCATAGTTGGTGTAATGGTTAATCTTGTTTTACTTCACTGCTTACCTTACACAGAGTAGGAGTTCTGGGCTTTTAGTGAATAACCTTCGTCTCCTCTTCTCAATACTTCATCTCACTCTCTGTCAAAAAGCATAGTCTCTTTATTTCTCTAGTTTCTCCAACTCTCAAATGGAGACTCTCCGTCCCCTCTCACTGGCCTGGCATTCAGTCCTGCTATGAAGCGGATGGCTAATTTTACCAGACTGACCTCATTCCACTATTGTATAAGAACAAGTGAGTCAGTGTCAGGAGAAATGTACTGGCTTATCCCTTCTTTTCCGTTCCTTTATTTTCTCTTTCTCATTTTTCTTGCTTTCTTTCTTTCTTTTTTTTTTTACCTGATTCATCTCTGTAATTGACTCGCTCCCTTCTTGTTTTGGCCAGAGGAATATGTATATTCGCTGGGTCATGCAATGTAATATGCTCACAAATGTGGGGGAAAGAAAGAACCCTTTCTCCGCCCATCAGCCTTGTCAAGTCGTCTACTGGCATGCGGTGCTTGTAAGGGGCTCACTGATCCATCCACCTGAGTGAATGAGGTATTTGCTTCAGTGGCCAGATTCTGAATGATGCCTCTGTAGTATCAATACCACTATGGGCTGAGACAGAAATCACTTTATGTTTTCCGCCGACTCTCCAGAAGTAGTATTTAGGTAATCACTGTTACCACGTTAATGCACATGTTGTTATAGGTCAGACTTCAAGTCTTAAATCAACCTGTGATAACACGAGTTATTATATGTGCAATTAACTAATATATCAAAATTAATGTACACATTTTGTGTTTACTTTAAAGGAAACTGTTTCAATGGATCCTCAAATTAATTTTAAAAGGTAAGCGATTTTTGTTCATTTTCCATAATCTCAAAGCAACCCCATATCTCGAAGCACTAACTGAACTGCAAACACAATAAAACCAGCTCAAAGTAGTTCAACAAACCATGATATTAGATTGAAGAAAGTAGGATTTGCATGCTTAAGCCCATCATAAAACTCAACCCTCCAGGCAAGGCTGAGCTATTTTCATTTCTACAGCTTTCCTCTACTTATTACACAGATCAGAATAGGCTTTGTAGACTTTCAGCTGTCTAAAAGTGATGCACTTGATAGATGACAGTGGTTTGTTCCCATGCTTGTTTTAACATGTTTATTTTTTAATAGTAAATGTATTAATCTAGGGCCATATATACTTGCAAAATAAAAGAAAGTTTCACAAACAAAAAATAAAGTATTGAGAAAAATAAATAAATAAATAAATGAATAAATAAACAAATAAATAAATAAATCTTGAAAAAAATCACATTTATCATCTGTTAACAAGAAAATATGTTTAGCATATATATATATATATATATATATATATATATATATATATATATATATATATATATATATATATATATATATATATATATATATATATATATATATATATTTTTTTTTTTTTTTTTTTTTTTTAAATTGCATATATTTTAGGCAAATATTTATTTCTTTTGCACTGGTTGATTTTTATTTGCATCTTTTTTGTTTGCTAATTAAATTTTTATTTCTCAAAACTTATTTTTTCCTTTGCAGTTCTTTATTTTAGTTATTAAAATAATTTTTTTATTTCTCAAAAATAAAAAATAAATAAAGGGGCGAAGCAGTGGCGCAGTAGGTAGTGTTGTTGCCTCACAGCAAGAAAGTTGCTGGTTCGAACCTCGGCTCAGTTGGCGTTTCTGTGTGGAGTTTGCATGTTCTCCCTGCGTTCGCGTGGGTTTCCTCCGGGTGCTCCGGTTTCCCCCACAGTCCAAAGTAATGCGGTACAGGTGAACTGGGTAGGCTAAATTGTCCGTAGTGTATGAGTGTGTGTATATGTGTGTGTGTGCGTGTGTGTGTGGATGTTTTTCTCAGAGATAGGTTGCGGCTGGAAGGGCATCCGCTGCGTAACAATGTGCTGGATAAGTTGGCGGTTCATTCCGCTGCGGCGGCTGACAAAAAAATTAATAAATTAATTAATTAAAAAATGAAGATTTGCATATATTTATTTATTTACTTATTTATTTCTGCTTAATACTTTATTTTTTTGTTTGCAAATCTTTATTTTATTTTTTTTTTAAGTATATGGCCCTAGATTGACTCAATACTCAGGTGTCCAAAGTAAATACCTGCAATTAGAAAAGCAAAAGTATTAAATCACCAAGGTTTAAAAATAAAACTTATAGCAGGCATGTCAACCATTAACAATAGATTATATGTTAAAAATTATCAAAAGATACTAATGTAACCACAAAAAAAAGTATATATATATATATATATATATATATATATATATATATATATATATATATATATATATATATATATATATAATTTTTTTTTTTTTTTTTTGCAAACTTTTGTGCTACTTAACTCTTGTAAAGACGTGACTGAGCACTTGTCAACGTTCATGGAAAGGGCTGGCGGCTGGAAGCTCCTCCCCCGCGATGCTTTTCAGCACTTTTCCTTTGAATGACAGTGGCTGGGGAAGGGACTAAAAAAAGTTGTGTGATTTCTCGCAGCCTCAACGCAGATGAGCAGCAGTTGGAGAACTGCAATCAAACTGAATGGATTGGCATGGGGAGAAGCGGCACTCTCAACCTGGCTAAGCGGCAGCTTTGGAACTGGTTTTATCTTGTAGTGGTTTCTATGTGCCTGTTACTCCGACCAGGTAAATAGTTTTCCTCTCTTTTGACTCGTATTGATCGATTTATGCACGCACTCATTGCGGGTTGAGCAGTGCGGGGAAACATTACACTTTTGTTTGGAGGGAATTTCTTTGATTAGAGTTTTAAAATTGTGTTAAAAGTTAAAACACACTATTTACGGCACGTATATATCCGTGCTTATAATCGCACCGTCCGTTTAATACGCATTTAGTTCCCTGTAGGCCAGAGTTGTCCTGCTAACGCGCTAGCAAATCAGCGCAGTGTTTGTGAAACAAATTAAAACTGATACATGTATTCAACTGAGAAGTCAATTGTATACTTACCTTCTGAAAAAAAAGTTTTTAATGTAACAAGCACAGATTACTATTTTAAGCGTCTGTTTAGTTCAGTCACTTAACGTTAGTTCATCAGGTTGGCAAAACTTTCGCTAAGCTGGCTAGCTTCTCGCTGCATCGTTGTTTGAAGTTGTTTACGTCGAAAGTTAGTGACTACGAGAAAGAACACAGCGTGACTTGGTGTGGTGGATAAATGCAAGATATTTTTGAGCACCAGTGAGCAAATATGGCATATTTTTGTTTTACATTACTTGCACGTTTTAACTGCCTACGCCTCTGCTGCGAAAAGCACGCGCAGTGTGTTTATTTTGTGCCGCGAGACGAAGTTTTTCAACATTCGCGAGTGTTAATGAAACACAAACCTTAATTTTATGTAGCTAGAAAGGACCAAACTGTTTGATCTAAGTATTATTTACTGTGTTTTTATTAACTAAATAATTTTAGTCTACAAAACATGCATAATGGATATTTACTATGTTATAATGGTACACTAACATGTAACTGAGTTAAATAATTTTCAGTTGCAATCTATCATGTATAAACAAATCCTCACGTGGTATTGTTTGTAAGACCAACAAATTCACTTACACTCAACTTAAATGTACTTAAATTTTTATGTTAAATCTACATAAATTTGTTAAAAGTGTTTAGCTAACTTAACCTATTTGTGTTGGGACAACATCATTGAATTATGTGGAACCCTGCATTTTTACAGCATATGTCAGCTAGGCACGGGACGATAACCGCTTTCAAGGTATACCACGGTTTGGAAAAGTCAAGGTTTTAAAACCGCCAAAATATTCCAAAAAATTTTATTTACTTTTTTGTAGCTTTTTAGGACAACAGTATCTCCGGCAGAAATAAATATATCTAAAGATGCTGTTTTAAATTGTAAAGAAATCTGTATTTTTGAAACAAATGAAGACATATGAATTCAATAATTTATATAAATTATTCAGCCTGACATGTTTACTGTTAAAAAAATATACATTTTTTCAAAAATTTAAATATATTGTTGTTTTTTTTTAAAGTGATTTCTTTTGGTTTTTTTACCCAGACATTTAAAAATAATATATATTAGAGCAGTAATCACAATACAGTGATACTTTTATCCAAGGTTATCATACCGTCAGAATATTACACTGGCCTAATGTCAGCATGCTAAATGCATATTGACAACAAATATTATAGCAGGTTTTTACCATCAAAACTGACAGTTCAGAAGAAAACGATATATGTGGATACTCTACATCTCACACATTTGCATATTTAAAAAATGTTAAACTGATGTAATTAAAGGTTTAATTATGTGGGTGATGATTAATGTCAAAGATAAATCAGTGTGTTACTTATATAATATTAACATAATCAGTGTATTGAATAGGTAATTTATCAGTGAATGCTGCTGCTTCTTATTGTGCTGTACTCTCAACCATTATCCAAAAACTACCCTGAAGTAATGGAAATGTTGGTTGAAAGGTGTGGAAACTTTGTAGAATACAAATACCACGTCTGAGGCCATATTTCACATATGCTACCCAAATTCCATCACATTTGTTATTATTGGGCTTGTACTCAAAGCACGTAAAAGTCATCATATGAAATGAAGCAGTTACTATTTTCACGCCTTTGTTACCCCATAGCCATAAAACAACTTAATTAAAAGGGATCCAGATAAGGAATGTTTTCATGGTTTGGAATAGCAATCGCCAGCCTGTAGTTATCTTTACAGATGCTGACTTGAGTGCAACCAATGAATGTGTCACATTGACAAAATACAGCAGTTGTGTAGCTGTTAAGAGGTTTAGCGCGTAGATCAATAACTAGAAACCATCTAAGACTAAGAACTTTAATTATGAATGCCTCCATCGCCAGCCAACCATCAAATAGTGATTCTCTGAGTTTAAAAGGCATCTCATTAATGCCTAATTCTCACACATTCTTCTTGATTCTCAACAGTGTGCTGCCAAGCATGTCGGATTCAGCGCTGTAATGCGGAGTACGTGGCCTCATTCTCACCCTCCGGTGGCTTGCAAGAGGAGGTGCATCCAGATGTGGACTACTGCATCGCTCTGAGGGCCTACTCCTTGTGTACGCGGCGTACAGCTCGTGCTTGTAGAGGGGACTTGGTGTACCATTCTGCTGTTTTCCGCATTAAAGAGCTCTTTGCACAGCACAACTGCTCCAGCGACGGCCCAACATCGTCGGCCAAAGCACCCAGCACTTCCAAGCCAACAGTGGTGGACGTTTGCAACTATGAAAGCAGGGTGCTCGCATCAGGCCCGGCGGCCCAACAGAAAAAGTATGGACATTGTGGATTATTCGGTGATCCTCACTTGCGGACTTTTCGGGATGAGTTTCAGACATGTAGGGTTGAGGGAGCCTGGCCGCTCATCCACAACAGATACCTTTCAGTTCAAGTCACAAACGTACCAGTGGTTGAAGGCTCCAGTGCTACTGCAACCAACAAGGTTAGTCGTGTATATCGTCCTGTTAACATTGGTGGAAGTTTGTCTTGTTCAAACTCACCTCAAACTAATGATTTTCTGAGGATGGGTAACAAATGTTTACATTTACGCACAATGTCGATTTTTTTCCCCCTTCAAAACATAATAGAAGATTCTTTAAGAAGAAATTCATCTATTTTTGTCCATAAAATGAATGTCATCAACTGAACCTTTTTCATTTTCATTCTCAGAATGAAAATGCAGACCTTTTTCTTAACAAAAATATGTACTTTGCATGATCCACAGACTGTTACACGCATTGTTAGGAAGTGATTTTTTGTTTGATTTGATCAGGAACTTGTGACAAATCAGGGGAAAGAGTTGGCTAGAACTGTCTTCTGTCCTCCTAGTATGGTCCAAAGAAAGCGATCAAACTAAAAACATGAGAGGGACAGAGTCCGCCTAAACAATGATGTCATAAGGGGACTTTTTTTTTATCGGTTCTATTAAGAGATTTGGATTTAGCCTGTTGGGCTCTAGTGACAATGCAGGGTCAAAAGACTTACAGAATCCCCCAGCTGTTTCACAATGAGTGAGGAGGCAATAAAAAATAAATGATTCATTCTCTAGTTATGGCCAATACCTGTAAGGTGATCATCACACATGAAGAATAAAGGTAGTAATGGAGTAAGAATCAAATATGCATATAGAGTCAAGCCCGAAATTATTAATCCCAATGGAGTATATAGATACACGCTCAAAACTTGTAATTTTAATATATCTTTAAGGGGCAGCACAGACCTTTTAATTAGTCAAGAGGTTTCTTTTGATTTACAATTTGCCCATAAAAGAGCTTACGATATGCTACTAAAATTAGATGCAATTAATGATTATGCATTGACCATAAATGTGGTGGCTAAATAAGAATTTTATAGTCAAAAGTGTACAAAATGAAAAAAAAAAAAAAGTCTTAGAATGTGGTTTAGATGCTGGTAGCTGTCCATTTTTGTTTTTCTCTGTTCTTCTACTGCCACCATGTGGTGACATCTGTTAATATTATTATTATTATTCTGGGTTATCTCTTTGAGTAATCTTCTAGCCTTACTCGTATCATATTAAGTTACAGCTTTAATTAATATTATATTAATTAATATTATATCAAAAATATATTTTCATTTTAATATCAGAAGCTATAAAAATAAGCTTCTATATATTTATATTTGTTTTAGTTCATATTTACCTATTAGTATTTACCTATTAGTTTGCCTATTATATTTAGCAATTAGTTGTTTCACTTGGATAAATAATAAATAATATTATCTACATAAATGGATAAAAAGTGTAAGACAATCACAGCCAGTTTGTGCATTCATGACAGTTAAAAGATTAATATTAAAAATATTGTGATGCGGAATTCTGGACCAATTAGTTTTATAGTTTTGGGTGCAATGTTTAATTTGTGAATAAAACATAAAAAAAAACAACTTAGACTTGTTATTATATATTTAATATTTGCATTATATTTGAAGTTAAAGTATTAAACTTAAAATGTTTATAAAAATGATAATGAAAGGAAGTAAAACAAAGATAAAATACACTATAATAGTAAATAAACAACAGCATAACATCTCTAACCTGGTCAGGACACGTTCAAACACAGTTTTTAAAGCAAAATATCAGTCTGCACAAAAGCACAATGTTGAAACAATCCTCTAGTCAATTGAAAGCAATTTCTAGTATTGATTTTTAGTGTGTGCTATTACTCACCGCTTCCCGTTTGATCCCCCCTTTAGATAACCGTCATCTTCAAGTCCTACCATGACTGCACCGAGCAGAAGGTGTACCAGGCCACCACAGAGGACCTGCCGTCAGCGTTCCAGGACGGCACGCGGAGCGGGGGGAAAGGGGAGAGCTTGTGGATTGTGGAGGGTAGTGGAGGTTTGGGCATACGGCAAGTTAAGATCCACGCTCGCTATCTGGGCACCTCCATCATCGTGAGGCAAGTCGGGCGGTACCTGACGTTTGCCATCCGCATGCCTGAGGACTTAGCAGAGGAGAACGGCGGCCTGCAGTTGTGCCTTCACGGCTGCCCGCGCAGTGAGGTCATCAAAGCCCATGTGCTCAACCGGCAGCAGAGTTTGCGTCCACCCCGACTCATGGGGGGCTGGTACGGAGAGGACGATGGCGGAGAGGTGAAATCAGGCCTCTCTTCGCACATAGACATGCTAGAACGTGCCACCACAAAGTGTCGAGAGATGCTCCAGGTGGAGGACGTTTATTTCCAATCGTGCGTCTTTGATCTTCTCACGACAGGTGATCCGGAGTTCTCCATGGCAGCGTATGGCGCCCTGGAAGACCTTAAGGCACTTCCACCAAGCACTCTTAAACAAAGTTCACCCAGGACTCCACCTGTTTCTAATAGGGGAACAATAGTTACACCTTCGGTTTTCACAGCTCTGGTTCTTCTGCTGTTGTTGAACTGAAGGAGATGGTCTAGACACCAGCTTGACGATGGCAACAGGAAAAACAATCAAACTGGCTTTGAACTGTCAAGGGATGGATCCGAACGGACTCGCTTTCTGTTAAACACGCAATGTTTTACGCCACAAAATGGATAATGGCACTTCAAGCTTTTCTGAATGTGAAATCTGCATGAGATGAAGGCAGCTAACCTGCATATCTTTTTAAATGATCGCATATAAAGAGTGGAGACTGTTGACGCAGATGTGACACCATTGGATGAAATCATTGTAAAAGACACGTAGCATGTCCTGTGATGCACATCTTACAGAATCACCCACATACAAATATATATGTCATCTACATGGGATCCAACAACTACATAAAAAGCTACCTATGCATATATTTTTGGTTCTGGTTCCATACATCTAAAGCTACAGTCACGGTAGAAAACAACCTCTTCAAGCTGCTTATCGACAGAAAACAAAACAAATTCTTTATATAATAATATATTGAGAGAGTGTATATATGTGTTTTATATGTGTACATTCACCTGTGTATAGATGATGATGTTTTAAATGTGACATTTTGAAGCCGTTTCATCTAGTTAGATATTTTTGTAGTTTGTATAAAACATAACTAATATGTGCTGTATGGTGTAATCTGTTATTTCCCATATTAAAAATGAGTTGTTACTATTTCTTGGATTTATTCCCCACAGACACTTTTAACTCCATTTAGGCATTTTTATATAGTATTTTGGCCTCGCTGCATCTAGAATTGCATGCTGTATATACTAAGTACTACATCTGGTTTGCAGCTTAGTTTATGATTGTGAAAAAAAAAGCATGTTTTATATATAAAGTATGCATTAGGGTTGCACGGTTTACCGGTACTATGGTAGTATCGTGTTACTATGTTCAATTCAATTCAGCTTTATAGCGCTTTTACAATGTAGATTGTGTCAAAGCAGCTTCACATAAATGGTCATAGTAACTGGAACAGTGTAGTTCAGTTTTTAGTGTTTAAATTCAGTTCAGTTTAGCTCAGTTCAGTGTGATTTAATCATTACTGAGAGTTCAAACACTGAAGAGCAAATTCATCGATGCGTAGCTCTACCAATCCTGAACCATGCGAGCCAGTGGCGACAGCGGAGAGGGAAAAAAAACTTCATCTGATGGGAGTGAAGAAAAAAAACCTTGAGAGAACCAGACTCAGTTGGGCACGACCATTTTAATTTCTCCGCTGGCCAAAAGTCTTGTGCAGAGCTTCAATCACCACAGTGAAGGCTGGAAGATGGCCTCAGCGAAGACTCGTCTGTCCCTGGAGCGTATAGCTGGAATCAGACACATGTTCTCCACTCCCCACGACCATCAGCGCAGCAGCAGCTCAGGATATGGCCTGGTCCCAGATATGGAAACCTTGGGATCATCTCGTCGCTGGTCTTGGATCCAATCAGTGACTCCGCATAATCTCTGCTTCACACACATAGATTTTACTTGGGCGGGCCGCTCGGGTATATTGATGGCCACCCAAGTATGTTTGGTGGGGACACATGAATAATACTATTACTATCATCCTTTTACACTTTTTTTGTATCTGCCCAAGAAAGCCAAGCACTCGCATTCGATTAACCAGTAGAAAATCTTCTCTCGCTCTGCACATTTCCTACTGCTGGTTTGTTGTGTGAGAACTGTCAACACTCGCACAGACAATCACACATGCTCTACAGACCCACAGAGATGCGCCTTTTGCGCTTAAATGTGTCCGACTGAAGTTTCTGAATCTCCTAAAATATCCAGGATTCGGATTTTACTTTCGTTTTCTAAAGTTAGCTTTATGTGTATGCGTTCTTGCATCACATTTTCGCTGCTGACTGGGTGAGAACAGCTGCAAGAGAAACATTAAATGATGAATCATTTAATAAACAACTCGGATAAACTTTACTATATGCTCAGAAAGAACACAATATACTGGCTGCAAAGTATTTGTACATCATTGGAAATGGCTAATCGACTAATTTGCCTAGTTTAAATAATCTACACTTTTTATTCTAGTAATATCATTTTTAAGCAATATTGTCTGTTTTTATTCCCTTTTTTTTGTCATTTATTTTCCATTTTCTGTATATTTTATTAATTTAATGATGATGTTAATATATTACATTCATTATGCATATCGAAAATGCTTTGGCAATACTTTACAACATATAAAGCCAATAAAGCAACTTAAGAGAGAGCAGCCTTAACCTGTCAGTGTGTGCACATGGCTCCTAAGTAGCATAAAAGTAAGAGAAATAGTGGATTTCTTTTATTTTAACAGTCTTTTAAAAATAAATATAACCCACTGAACATAAACATAATAAATAAAATGTCATAATAAATAAAAATCTCACTTTTTGGTTTAAAAGATGTGTTTCAATCAGACTACCACAGCAAGTATATTTCAAGCCTGTGGGAAGCACTGCTATGGCTCCAAAATACTGGCGGTGCCACTGTAATTTGTAAATGGTATTTTCATTAATGTGCTAAATACGTTATGGTGCATGTGGAAAAGTCACTAAAAGTGGAGCCAGCGAAGCAGTGGCGCAGTAGCTAGTGCTGTCGCCTCACAGTAAGCTGGTTCGAACCTTGGCTCAGTTGGCATTTCTGTGAGGAGTTTGCATGTTCTCCCTGCATTCGCGTGGGTTTTCTTTCGGGTGCTCCGGTTTCACAGTCCAAAGACGTGGTACAGGTGATTTGGGTAGGCTAAATTGTCCATAGTGTATGTGTGGATGTTTCCCAGAGATGGGTTGCAGCTGAAAGGGCATCCGCTGCGTAAAAACGTGCTGGATAAGTTGGCAGTTCATTCCGCTGTACTGACCCCGGATTAATAAAGGGACTAAGCCGACAAGAAAATGAATGAATGAATGAATAGTCTGTGGAGCCCTTTAAGGTTGCAAAACTTATATGATATCCTATTGCAATTTTTCTGACATTTCAGTTCAAACGCACACCTGAATCAGTTCATGTCTGTTCCTGTCAATATGAGGTAGTAGCTACATCAACGGCATCAATCTCTTAAAAAGAACAACTCACAAAGTGAAATTTTGAATTACTTTGGATTTCTGCAAACATTGAAACGATATCTGACCACTTCATATAGCATATTTTGTTGTAAAAATGCTCTTTTTGTAACAAAATTTGTTCGGTATAATTTGTATATTTATTTTAATGTATTTTTTGTTGGTCAGTTATCTACAAAACATTTTAGGTGAAGTGATGTGCAAACTAATAAGGGAATTATGAAATCAATTCAAGTAAGCTAAACATCACAACTAGTTCCTTTTTTTGGTAGTAACTCAATATAGTAATGCATTATTTTCTAAAGCAACTTTCCCCAACACTATTGTAAGGGATTGTATACATACAAGCTGAAGTCAGAATTATTCAGCAGAGTCTGGATGCAAACATGATGCAGTCTCAGACCGATGCAACCTCGACCGCACATGCGCATTTAAACACATGTATTCTCGTGCACGCGCAGAGTGCGTCGGGTCAAAGACGGTTTAGAAACTAAAGGTACGACAGACAAAATAAATACCTATGTATCTAAACAAATAATTATGTCACGAGGTAGACTGTGAACTCCTATTATAAAAAGATTCAGGTCGCGGCCAGGATTTTATTTAAAATAATAGCTGATAGGCATTTGTAATATTGTCTTAATAACTTTATTTCACACGTCTAAAATGTGTTTATATTGGCAAAATGCATGACATGGTAATGTAATGCACTATTAAATAAAACATTTCCTAAATGATGTTAAACAGAGCAAGGAAATTTTCACAGTATGTCTGATAATATTTTTTCTTCTGGAGAAAGTCTTATTTGTTTTATTTTTGCCGGAATAAAAGCAGTTAAATTTTTTTTTTAAACTATTTTAAGGTCAAAATTATTAGCCCCTTTAATCTACATTTTTCGATAGTCTACAGAACAAACCATCTTTAATAATATGCCTAATTATCCTAACCTGCCACCTTTAAATGTCACTTTAAGCTGTATAGAAGTGTCTTGAAAAATATCTAGTAAAAATATTTACTGTCACCATGGCAAAAATAAAATAAATCAGTTATTAGAAATAACAGAAACAACAGCAATTGTCAACTGTACTTAAGAATCTTACAAGAAGAAAGTAATCATTCTGGTACTTTTCAGCTACTGTTTCATAAATACTAGCATGGATTTAGACACTGTATACTCTGCTCACTTACTGTTTATCACTATATATTAACTTGCAAGTCAAGTTTAAAATACTGTACTGTAAACTTTGAATAATAAGCATATTCATCACAGGCCATATTTCCCTATAAGCTATCAATAAACATTAAAAAAAAAATCTTAGGTCATCGTGGGAAGTACTTGGATTAATGTTAATTTTTTTTGTCATAGTTATGCTAACAATAATGTACAAGTAGCTATTTGTTCTACAAAACATACCTGACAAGATGATCAGCACCTTACCTTATTGCACAGCTACTTACTAAATAAATAAACACCTGAAAGATAATTCAAGTTAAAACTACTTTGTAATGTGAGAAGTGGTTGCAGAGCAATGTGAAACCAAATTGTTGTTTGGAAAAAGATTTGTTGTTAAGCTTAGAATGAATCAACTGACCAATCAGAAGCAATACATTAATTCACCATAATACATAATAATAATAATACAGCAAGTCACTAATCCAGGGTAAGTACTAAGTTAACTATGACTATAGCTAGGCAATTTTCACAGATTTTCTGACAGGTATAAAACCGCACATATTGTAGGACTGACCAGTTAGTCACGAAAGTGGTTGACGTTTGACCTTGACTTTTTCACTTTTTCCATTCTTCACGTTCCTGTAAAGTTAAGGACCCTTCAGGCCTCGGGTGGAAACTGGTAAGAAATGACGGGGGTCGAGTGACGGAGATTAAAACGTCGTCAGTTTAACCACATTCATCATGCTAAACTAAGCATTTTCCAACACTGCCCTTCTCTTGTACTTTGCAGCTCTCGGCACTCCATCACTCTCAAGTTTTAACTGCGCCCGATGCGAGGAGAAGAAAAGAGGCAGCTTTTTCATGCTAAAGGCTGTCAGAAATCATCTCATACATCTACTGCAGACCTGTAGTTAACATGACAGGTATATGATTCTTTTACTTTAGTACAGCGCCTGTTTTATCGTATCTTTGAGCTGCATTTTATGTGTTTGGTCTCCCCACAGCCATCCTTTTAATTAGTCTTATTTTAATGAGTGTTCTAGTCATAGACCTATAGATGTAATGAGGTAGCCTATAAATAAACAAATATTAAAAAAGAACAATCACTTTGTTCTTTGCTCACTTTGATCTAATAAACAAGGACAATTATTGGGCTAAGTTAATGAATTAAAATAAGCCCCGAGAGTGATTAATATTCAGACTGGACAAATTAATTTGACATTAATAGGATATTTGGCAAGATAAATAGACAGCACGGGACCTGTCCGCACGCTGATTGATTAATTGATAGATGGATGGCTCTCTTTAAACAAAGGCATTTTTAATTAATTAATTAGAAACATAGCCATCAGCATTCACAGTCTGGAAATAGTTTTTAACACACATTTTTATAATACATAGATAACGTGATATATAATTTCAGATTCTGTTGAAATAGGTGATTTCTGAAATGTTTGTTT